AATTACCACCTTAAGGACATGAAACACACTACATGTACAATTATGATTGATAATCATGAGTTGGCAAGAATTTACACAATTCATTTTAAAACTATTTTTTAAATTAACAGTACGGATCTTGACAACATAGGAATTGTCAACAAAGTTTATTAAAAAAATAGTTTTATTTTAAGGGCATTGCCTAATTCGGCACACTTTGGGACATGATAATAGTATTCTACATTTTATCGAGAAAGAATTTACCTTAAGTTTTCCATCTTCTACCAAGAGTCTCCCAGCAGTTAAAGTAGCTTCTCCCGCAAGAAAGCTTGAATGATGGAAAATTCCTTTCTCTTTCTGAGTGTTATCGAAATATATATAGATGTGTCAATGAATAAAAAAGTTTCAATGGAGAAAAAGAGAGACTTTAAAAAAACTTCATGTGTAATTCCAGTTTTTAAGACATTACCTCTCCAATGTAGAGTTTCTTAGATGTGCTCACTACAAAGATATATTTCAACTGTGGAGATCCATGGTGAAGAGGTTTTCTGGTCATATTGTGTAGTATTTTTCCTTCAACAACCACATACTCGTATTTTTTTCTCTCTTCCTGTTCATATCAAACAAGAATAAAAAACTAAGCCCCACCCTGCTTAAAATGTTGCATGGGTTAGAATAGAAAAATATTTCAAGAAAGATAGTCTATTTACCCACCATAACGTACGTGCTTGATGTAACAATATAATAAATAAAATTTAAGCTCCAATTTTTCCTTTATACTATCCATTAAAATGTGTCAAAAATGTAGGAAAAAAATCCTCGTGCAAAAAATAATGCAAATATTTTGATCGCGTACTTGTCCAAAATACTTGACACGTTGTTGATCAAGCTTTGATCTTGGGCACTCTTCAAGATCAAGGTCTTTGCCATCTCCAGAATCCAACCTATTAAAAAGAAGATATGTTGAAGTTTCAATTAAATTGCTGTCAACAAATTGTATTTTCATTTTTTTTTTTTTTTTGACACTAACAAACTCAACTCCTTCAAGTTAGACCGCAAAAAATCTATCAAATTGTAACTTGATACGACTCATTTGACTCAACTGCTTGACTGGTGTGTTTTAAGGACTTCGATCTCACCAAAAAAAGAAATACTGATTGGTGGAGCTATTCAACCACTCTTTATAGTATAATTGTAAGTTGTTCCCATAACGATGCCATGGATCAGTCTGCATAAATAACATATCTAATGTTAACTCCAAAAAAATGTGAAGACGAGAATGACGTCTAGTCATCATACACTTGTTATGTCTTTGGCTACACATAGTTACAATGCGAGAACAAAAGATCACCACAAGGATAAGCTAACCATAAAAACTCTAAGATGGCAAGAAGAAAGAGTAACTAACGGCCTCAATCCAGTGTTTGGAGACCAACATGTGTGCCTTGGTATCAATGGACAAACCCTTGCCTACCTGTCCACATATTTAGTTAAAGACAAATCAAATCATCAAATGCAGTGATTATCAAAACAATCATCTATTGAAGCACTTAATTGTTAATCTTCCGTTATATATATTTCTCCTTTTCTTAAATTTTTCGACTTTCTTTTACAATAACTAATTACTAATCCAAAATAGTAATAAGAATGAATTTTTTCATACTTTGGCAGCATTCATAATTATGCGCTTCCACCACAAGGCTGTTGTCTTAGGCTTCAAGAAGTCGCCATACGATACAATACTGTTATTCCATAGTATAAACCCCATTGCTACAGCCAGCTTCAATTTCACCATGGAAAAATTGAGGAAGTTACAATAATTTATGAAGCATAATTTTTGTATGTAATATATACAAAATTCACAATTCTATGCTTTGGTGGATGGTGAGATTGAACTATTAGCAATGTGGTTTGAGGATTTTTAACCCTCTTAGAATTGTGTGATTCCAGATGGGAGAACTATGTTTACCCTTCTTTGGTGGATGATGAGATTGAGATATCTAAATATCTAAATCAAATGCTCTTAATGCTCAGTTCAAAGGAATTATATCAAATTAGATTGTTTCTAGTTCTCTTTTCCAGTAAGATGGTTTCTTTAGTTCTCTTCTCCAGTAAGCGAAGGAAGAGGGTTAAGCAAATTCAATGAAGGTAGAAGATTTTGGAAGAGAAACCTAAAGATCGAGAGCTAAAAGAAAATTCAACAAAGGTAGAAGATTTTCGAAGAGAAAGCTACAGATCGAGACTGAAATGACAGTTCATACTCAGGATTAGAGAGAATGGATGATGAGATTGTGAATCTGTTGATGATTTTAATCTGTACAAGCAGCAAAATTGGAGTTTTAATGTGAGTGATAAGCTTTTACCTTTGGAATAATCCTCTTATAAATTTATAATAGCCATAAGAAAGATGTTTCTGTGTGTTCCATTTTGACCTTGCATAGCAATATATTTTTGTCAAATCAATTTTGACTTAAAAGCTTCAGCAAGTAAGGTTACAATCTTCAATACGCTTTTCATATTTAAGGATATGTATTTATACCATTACTTAATATAAAGTTTAAACTATTAAGGCCCCGTTTGGTAGAGATTAAAATCACATTTTTAGTAAATTTTGATAAAGAAAAGTTGTGAATTCCATGAAATGTATGATTAAAATTAATTGTTGACTTTGACTAAAGATTTTAATTAAATTTTAATCCAAATCAAACGTGGTCAAGTGTATAAATCAAAAAGAAAATATTCTGTTGACTTTAGAAGAAAAATCTTCATCGATCCACGTGAAGCAGTCTGGTAATTGATGGAATCTCAGTCTCTTGAATAAAAGACAAAAGTAAGAAATGGCCAACACCACAAGTCTAGAGCCCCCTGGCAGTTCTAGGGCCCCGACATAGGCCTTCGGTAACGCATAGGGATCACCGCCGCCACCCAACTTTATCGAGGATTAATAGTTGATATTTTCCGATTTTTCATCCGTTATTACATTTTTTTTCTTGCATTTCAAATTAATTTCTCCAATTATGTGGCTAATTATACATAACGTGGAAAGAATGGTGTTGTTGCAATTATCCACAAAGATCTATATTTGAAATCAAACAAATTTGGTTATCATCGACTAAAAATGAATGCAATAATATACAAATTTTACAGAAATTGATTGCAATTAAAATATATCGCAACAAACAAAAAAAATATTATTTGTGTACATAATTATCCCAATTAAAAAAAAAATTTATCAAAAAAGAGTGCATTGCCCTTATTTTAGTTAAATACATGAATAATTAGAAAAATGAAATAATCTATCCCATCTACAATTCTACGCCCTAATTGGGTCCATTTTATTGTAAAATGCATTTTTTTTCCTTCTCAACCATGCCCTTGTTTGAGCCTCATTTTGAGAAAAAAAATAATCTATTTTTGAATAGTGATTTTTGAAGAATGTATGGTTAAAAATGGAAAAAAAAAAAATTATATTTACGTGTTATATTATTTTATTGAAAAATGTGTAGTTGAAAATGAATTTTGAAAAAATAATTTTTTGATAAAATGGGGCTCAATCAAGTTATATATATATATACAGAAATGATCTAATGAGCACCGGTGCTCATCTTATCCTAAGCACCGATGAA